CCACCGTCGCCTTCACCACTATCCTCTGTCGAAACCTCCTCATCGAGACGTGAGCTCGAGAACATCCTTTGCAACGTTGTTGATTTAGGGTAGGGTGGGTCGTCGAGTTCAAGCTCATAGGGTGTGCATGTAGTACCTCTTCTAAAATGGTTATTGTAAGTACTATTAGTGTTAGTGTTGGGGTTGAGGTTGGGAGAAGATGAGGGGGAAGACGGCGGCGTTCGGGTGGTGATAGAGTTGGTTCTAGAAAGACATGGTGGCGTGGGTGGTTCGTTGATGTTGTTAGGAGAAGAGTTGGAGTTGGTAAAGTAAGATGGAATCCATGATTTTAAGATAGGGGTTGATGAACTCCTTAGTAACATTTTTATTATTGTTCCTTAGGGTTATTTGCTTATTCTTTTGTCTTAGAGGTATTATTTTAAGAGAGTTGTGTTGAGTTGAGAATTGGGGGGAGAGTGGAAGTGAGAACCTCTCACACTTATATATACTCTAAGTGGCTAGTTTTATACTCTCTCTGTCTCTATTTTTTTGCCCCGTTTAACTGTGCATGGTATCCAAGATGCGTTTTATAATGTTTATATCTTTATTTTCATACACAAAAAATTATAAAAACGTAATATTAATAAAATATACAATGAGACGAATTTAACATACATGACTATTATGGCTATATTATCTTTTGTAGATTAACGGTAATTTATTGTTAAAGTTTTCCAAGTTTGACCCAAAAAATGGCAATAAGGCAAAAATAAAAGGACAAAGGGAGTAATTCCATTAGTCTCTACTCTCTAGTGTTCAAAAATATCTAGTACAATTGTTGTATGGTTGGTATGGTACAACAATTACATTATCAAGTTATAAAATAACATATAATAATGTTCTTTGTTACTACATTAAAGTTGTTTATTTTTCTTATATTATGCACAGTGTTAATATTACGAGTGTATTATATTTCTGATGTGTGTTTTATATAAATGCATGACAACGAGTATGACATTATTATGTGTCTTTAGTCTATCAAACTTGTTCAACTTTTCTCATTTTATTGTGTTACTTTTCTTTTCAATAATCCACTTTTTTTTTCACTCTTTAGCTAAGGTGACTAAATGGGTCGATTTAGTACGGACCCAAGTCCAGCTCTGACATAGTATTTTAATTGTGGGACAAATAACAGACTCTTAACCTATCAATTCGCACAAGCTGGTTAGAATAACAAACTGATGACCCATTTAATTATACAATCTAGATCAACCTGGCCTCAAGCCCCTAACACAGTTATACGTACAATTTTATCACGACTTTGCATTATGTAGATGCTTATGGCATGTCCATGCATTATATATGGGTGTTGGTACATCTAAATAGGTGGGTAAATGTGCAATAAATTGCCTAGTCCACGTTTAACCTGCTTATACTTGATTGAAATTGATTAGTTTGATCTAAAGTTAAGCTCGTTTTAATAAAATAGATCTTTATACTTGCATGTATGTTTGAAAGATCTCAAATAGGAACTAACTCTTTTCTTCTAAAACTAGTTTGATTTTACAAGGCAAATCAAAGACTTAAAAATATTACGAGTTTTTGTGTCTGAGGATCATAAACGATTCTGACAATAAGAATAAAAATTTCCAGTGAAAACTATAAGTCTATAATGAATGAATGATGTTAACATTGGATAAAATTAATGTACACTTAGGTGTATTGCTTGGGTTTTAGGAGGAAGCCCCAGCTTATTTCCTTGATAAACAAATTTTGTTAATCAAATGGCAAAATTTTAAATAAATCAACAAATGTGGAGCCTATTTTCAATAAAAAGTTATTAATATATTTACAATTTTGCCATATAATAAACATATTTTGTTTATCAAGAAGATAAACTTGTATTTTCTCGGATTTTAGACTTTAGTAGGAGTCAGTGAGTCACAATAGTAGTTCAATAGCACTTCAAATCTGCCAATAAAATTGAGAAACGTTTAATTAAATATCTAGCAAACTCATCACTCATTAGCCCTTACCTTAAGATAAATTCATGTATGGTAGGTTTGAGATTATGACTTTTATCATCTTTATCATAATAAAAAGTCCAACTCAGCACGTAGCTTCCAAATTATTAGTAACTATCATGTCATTAGCTTAAATCAATGCTTAAAAAAAATGAAAAATTATAAAAACAAGAACAATGAATGATACAAATTTTTAATGAAGTTTAGATATAATCCTTATCATACATTCAAAATTTCAAATGTATCTAAAACTAGGAAGACACAAGGCAAGAAATTGCTCATTAAGCTGTAACTTAGGCATCACAATAGTTGTTCAATAGTACTCAAAGGCAATGTTCGATAAAACATAGTTGTGATAGTAGTTTTATGTATGTGGTATTAGCAACTATATATTAGCCATCAACTAGTTGTTAGTTGTAAAGATATATATAACCGGTTAAGTAATTATTGACGAGATGTAATATGTGAAACTAGATATCTTTTTAAAAAATAAATAAGATATCAACAACTACTTTTAATTTTCAAATTTTATATAGCTTTAATTAACTTTTGATGAAAGTTTCATATGCCAAATCACTACATTAGCAAACACAAATATTCTATCACTGTGTTAAATTACTAAAAACTACTCAAAAGCCAATGTTAAATACATCACAAAATATGCACAATAAAGTTGATAAACGTTACACATATTAACCTAGAGCCGGGTACGGTCTAAAATATCTAGCAAACTCATCACCCATTGGCCATTACTTAAGCAAATTAAATTGAAGATTGGTAAGTTTGAGATTATATCTTAATCATCTTTATCATAAAACTCTTTATGTAAGTTCCAAATTAACATGAATAGTCAAGTCAGTAAATATCATGTCATTATCTGAAAACATATGCTAAAACAGCAACTAGTCTGCTAATCAAACAAAAGATTGCGCCAAGTGCTAACGAGCTAACCGTGCAATTGAATCGAAGGTTTGTCACAAAGTGATGGGGTTACCTTTTGTTGATGGTTCAGTGTCCACTTCCACTACCTACTATAATGTTCAGGCTACATTGGACCGTCCATTTTATAACAGTTACAATGTTACAGTAATATAACTTATATAAGAATATAATTTCATTTATTGTACTTACTTAGATGTTGATTTGTGGGTCCATATTTCACGTGATTTAGGTAGATTGTAGACGTTTGTGCTTTCATGGGGTCATTAATTCATCTTGTCCACTTTTTTAAGCTATGATTGAAGTTGTTTGTGTACACTTTCATAGCATTTCTTACAAACCCGAATGTATGATAGAGTTTTGAATGCTAGGTATAGAATACTAATAGTGGTTGCTCAAGAAAGTGTTTTACATTAGGAATTTAACATAGCACTAATAACAATTATGCAAACTTTCCACTTCATTTACATGTTAAAGTAGGAAGTTAGGAACAGCCACAAATGGCTTTGGCTCGGGCTAGCTCATGCCATGACACAACCTACCCCGAAAAATGTATGGCCATGGGTAGACACGACAACAAGTTATTGCGCATGCCAAGCCATAGCCCATGGGTCAAGCTTGGGCCACATTTAAAAAAAATACTAATAATAAAAAAAATAAAAATAAAAAAACTCTAGGCACGGAACAATGCGCTCCGGCATGACAACACACTCTAAAAATAAGTGAAATTTTCCCTTTTCTGGAAAAAATGGACATCTGAAAATAATTTTAGACCCCTTTGTACTTTTACATGCTCATAAGCGATGTTGCTTCTTGTTTCTCAGCAGCAGTGCAGCTGCAGCACATATAAATCAAAGAATTATCATGTACTGCGCCCTACTATTGTACACAACTGAAGAGTTGTCTGTATTTCCAATCAGTCATGTATTGGCCCTGTAGAATAAGAGCTCCTTACATGTTCAGAGTTCTGATGGAGTCAAAGCTAATAGAAAGTTCGATTTTTTCATGTGGTTGTGTGAGGCGTGGAGGGGTGTACGATCATTATATTATACAATGAAGGTGGAGGGATTTCGTACCAAGGACCTAATCTACTCAAATACTTATGACAGCTATGAGTTATGACCACAATTTAGCCACTATGCATGATCTCATTGGTGGATCGTGAACTTGGCGAAGCGTTGAGGCTCTGGTTCATAACTTGGCAAGAATGAATCACACACACAATCACCTAAACCAAACAAGAATTGCACCTGACTTGAGGTAACTTGATTTTGACTCGAGCCGAACAGAAACCATACCATAGTACCATACATTGATTCGTCTTAATGTTAGTCTAACTTCTATAATCAACAAGAGCCTAAAAGGTTTCGCCACTGCAGACCTGCAGTAGTTGTATTAACTAAAACTTGGACTTTTGATTCACTCTAGCAGAGTCACTGGACTAATGACTCGACTCAATCACATGCGAACTTTGGGAAGGAAAAGACTGATACATGATTATATATAAGAATTTCTACTAATGCATTTAGCACAGCAATATTTGTTTCGAAATAAGTTCAAGTAACACAAGACACCACTGTGATATGAGTCAAAACTTTTTAGGTTATTTAATCAAACAAAAGTGATAAAAGGGTATATATACAGCTGAATAACAAAGGCAGCTCTACAGAAGACAACCCCCCACCCCCCCCCCCCCCCCGGGGGGGGGGGGTGGGGGAGGTGGAACAGGCACCTCAAAACAAGCACAAAGAATCAGTTTCAGAAGCAGTATTGAGATACCAGCATTTTATTCTTGCGATTTTTTCAGTCTATATGACTCAGAATGCAGCATCTCATCATTCATATAGTTTCACATGACACATTCTCCACTTAAGTTGACAGAAAAGGATTTACTTACATGGAAATAGTACTATCAGAAAAATAGAACATGAACTAATGTGAAATTTCACGAGAACAAATGAAAGCTCAAGCGGGGCTTCATCCAACTGTCAAATATCAAAATCCCCTATCACAGTTTTTACATATTGGGTACTAGAACTGCTATATCAAAGTTGTTGCTTGATTAATTTATGAGTGAAAATAAATTTATAGTTTCATACCAACTTAAATGTATTCCCTGGATGATGAATTATTCTATTTCTCTATCACAACCTTCTTCATGCACAGCAGCATGGTGTAATTTTACAATCTTCACTACACTAACAGAAACATGCAGGCAGAGTAGAATGGACAGAAGAACCATCATGAGTATATAATTATATGTATCTTTAGTGATATTCTACTCTAAGACTATGTACACACAAAATTGATTACACAGTCACTTTCAAAAACGATCTTTTTTGTTTCCTCGTCCTGAATTCGTCCTATCCATAGCAGATGCCCAAAAGAACAGTGATATCCAGAAAAAAACTGCAAAAAATATCTGCAATTTGTCCCAGAGCCTAGAAAAAGTTGCTGCAATACCTGGATCAAGTATAATTTTAAATTATGCCAAAATCTTGTTTTTAGATGCATCATCAAAATTTCCATAGGAACATAAGTCATAAGGCCTTTCTTATGGTTAGTAGGAACAATAAAGGTTACTCAAAAGGGTGTTTTAATCTAAATCTATTTCCAGGTTAAATTAGAAACATCAAGAGGGAAGATCCAAAAAGTTTCACACAGGTAGGTATATCATACCAAGCAGTTCCAACCTTGAAATAAAGTCCACAATACATTCAGCAACAAAACAGGAGTGAAGAAGCTTGCTACTATGTAGATAGCGAGCAAATTCACAAATTAGTTAGTGTTGATATGTTGAAGTTAAACAAGTCTTTTAGCACTAAAATTTCCACAGTGAATGTTGTACATGTCTTACAAGTCATTTCTATCTAAAATATCCATCTTTGGAGATGGGATTATGAGAAGCTTTCATACTAAAGCATGATTAAGTTTACCGAGTCCGACAGATATGTTGATACTAGGAATCTAGGATTGGTGATCACCTCTGAATTACCTGTTTTCTTTGCTCGGGTATTTGCTCATTTCAATAAACTCTCCACATTCAGGGCTACACCCCAATATACTATCCTAATATCCAGAAGTCAAATTCATGAGCATGTGAATACTTTTGATGCAACAATCTCTATTTATCTCTATACTAATTTCTAACATGTTATGATAATTACACTATCTTTGGATGGGGGAATTCGGAGGGAAGTGTGGGATGGATTTTCCTTTATTAAGTTAGCAAATGAAGGGGGGACGGAAATGGTGGGGAGGAATTAGAAAGACTTATGACTCCTCTTTCTTTAACAGGCCAATCTTTCCAAAATCGAAGAGATTAGAACGGAAATTGGGATTATAACCCTCAATAAAAGTAAAATGACTATACTTTTCTTACTAGTCACAACCACCCACCTATGACAATCAACCTAATTCTCTCTTCACCTCAACCACTCTCACTCTCTCACTTACATTTACGGGTCTTTTTATTCAACCAATATGATAATTTGCTACAATTGCGTGCATTTCTATCAACTTGTTTGTTCTGATCTTGTGTCAATTCAACTAAATTGCAGATTCAATTTCGTTGACAGATGAAACTCCAAAATAGTTTTGCTTAATAAAAATTAAACAAAGCCACAATCTGCCATTGAGAGTGGATTTTCTGCCATTATACTTTCGGTTTCCATTACATTGATCACTTTGCCTTTCTCTCTCCTCTTTTCAGTTTCTTCTAATTACTTCCTTCCCCCTACCTTCACCCCCTCTTCTTAGTGCTACTTAGTTCCTACCCTTCCCCTCTCCTTTCATTCCTTCACCTCCCATCTCTTTCCTTTCTCTAAAGTTATCTAAAATAAGTTCAATGATAATCAAGTGACAAGAACGCACCCTCAATGCACCTTTCAATCGGAAATAATAGTCACATACACTCTTATGGAGTGTTTAGAATTAACGGATGGTCTTATACTTCAATCAATCCATATCCTTAATTATGAATGGTCGAAACAATATGACATCATAAAATTATCTTAGAACATCATTTCCCAAAAGAAAGAACAAGAATAGGCAAAACATCATTTCCAGTAATTTTTCAGATATCTACTAATTCCTTGCCTTGTTTCATTCAGTGAGTGTAAAAATAACCCAAAAAATACAACATTTTGCACAATTCCAAGCAATTAAGAAACTTGCACCTTTTCAACAACCTAAAGATTAAATTTTTAATAGAAAAGCACAGCATTTAGCACAATTCCAAATTTCCAACCAATAGACTTAGCCCAAAAACATACACGATTATGTACAATTACCAAACAAAAGAACTAACGCCCATTTGGTAGGCGATAATAAATAACAGTAATCGAACAAAAAAAAATGAACTTACTGAAAATTGAAGTGAAGAAATTCATACCAGTGAAGCGCTGAGGATCCTTTCCGGGAGGGGAAGGAGGTGGGACCAAGCTTGACCGGAGAATCGGACGGTTGGGCTTTAACGGGGGCCCGGGAAATGAACGGTGGAGTTGAATTGGGGAAGAAGGACTACGATTAATTGAAGATGGAAAATTGGGTGGTAAAGATAATAGTGGGCTTCTGAAAATTGGGAAAAATACCCAGTTACTGTATGAACTTGTTGGAGAGAGAAAAGCCATGAATCTTCCTATGTTTGAGGAAGAATGACAAATTTGGGGAAGAAAGACCAATTTTTTAGGAAACTTTCCCCCTTTTTTTTTCCTTTCTTGTGTGTGTGTGGCACTAATTTATTTTTGGTGTTAGATTTTTTTTTAGTTGGCAAATTGGCAATTGAACTAGCTTTGGATGATGAATTGGGCTAAGGTTGTGAAAATTTGAGTTGGGTTGTTTCATGTAAAACAATCCATAAGAAAACACTTCTTTTGTGTAAGAAAATATGGAGTGCTTTAAATTGGGTGTGTCGAATAAGTTGGGTCTAATTTTTAGGAAACTTTTCCTTTTTTTTATTTTTTTTTTCTTGTGTGTGTGTAGCACTAATTTATTTTTGGTGTTAGATTTTTTTTTTAGGTGGCAAATTGGCAAGTGAACCAGCTTTGGATGATGAATTGGGCTAAGGTTGTGGAAATTTGAGTTGGGTTGTTTCATGTAAAACAGTCCATAAGAAAACACCTCTTTTGTGTAAGAAAATACGGAGTGCTTTAAATTGAGTGTGTCAAATAAGTTTTGATTGGGTTTAATAAGCAAATTATTTTTTTACTCGAGTCATGCTAGACCGTTATGCCCTTGAGTATCGTATCCTGGTTCAGGTAATTTCGGGTTTATTCAAGTCATTTTTGGGGTTAGGGTTAGATTTTGACATTTGATATCAATACTTATTGTAAGGATGATTAACATAAGGCTAATGGTTAGTTTAAAAAAAAACATATGGCTAACGGGTTATTCCATCTATTACCAAATTGAATTTATGATACAAGGTTAGGGAGCATTAGTTTATCTTTGAAGGTAGGGGTTATAGATAATCGTTAGTACATATTATGAGTTTACAAAGATGTTACCTGAAAAGTATTTATTGGGCTAACCAAATCCAATTTAGTAAAGAGTTTGACCACATATATCAATTTCAATAGGGTTGTATCCTAAACCCAATCAGTATTAGAAGGAATAACTAATACTTGTATACTATTTAGACTTATATATTACTATATTAGTCATTGTTTCTCTTCTTTTCAATATGGCAACTGGCAACTGGCAACTCACGTATGGTAATTATCTTCACAAAACATACAATAGTCCTACCCATAAAAAAAAAAATAAAAAAAAAAAGATATATATTTCATTTTGGTTAATTGTGTAATTTCTTATGCTCAAAGTGTTTGACCTCCGTGCATGCTAATATTTCCTAGGTACATACACCCTGTGATTAGTATAATAAGTTCGAGGTACCCTCTTAAGGAGACACATTGCTAGCTTAGCTTACAAAATTGTTTTGCTTGATACCCTATCAAATTTGAATCACTAGATCCGCCACTGCATGTGAGCTAGGTTACGAATTAATGGGTTGCTTTTTATAGCCGAAACACACACATACATGCACACAGGGTAGACCAATGTAAATCATTTAAATTATTGTATCATTTTATTTATCATTTAAAAAAGAAAAATGTTGTACATAGACCTTAGGGCTACGTACATATAAGCATTAAATACACTCTAGAAAATCGTATAAATTTAGAAAATCATAAAAATATAAACACTAATTACACTGATTTACGTGTGTTTAGTCATGAATTCCTAATTTTATGCAATTTTCTACAATGTATTTAATACTTATATATAGCCCTTAAGATTACATATAGCATTACCTTTAGCTTTAAAAAAACAAACTTGAGTCAATAACTCATGATTCCCACAAATAAGCCAGCCATTAAAATCAAAGTAACACATTCCCAAAATCACGAATAATAAGTCAAAAAAACTTAAAAACTTATATTAGTGAGTCAATGGTCCATTAATAAGTAAAATAGTGAAGAACTAAAACTTTCATATCGATCAAAGCAATTGTCTCTCTTATAGGAAACAGCCTTAAACCCTTAAACTGAATTCTCCAACATTCATAATATATACTCTACTTCTCATCATCTTCTGCTCCTCTAATCCCAAACTAACCAAAAAAACAAAAACACAAAAAATAAAAATCCCTATTTTCTCTTTCCTCTTTTTAACGTCTTTTTCTTCACTTCAATTCCTTAAGACTGTACTCACTCAAATATAATGGCTCCATCAACAATAACCCTACATAGAATAAAATTAATTGTTACTGCTACAATTATTATTTCTCTGATTATTTTACCTTCCAAATCAGGTAAATGTATGTTCATATAATAATGTTCAAAAATAGAGTATATTTATGTTCATATGTATATATCTATGTTTTATGTTTGTTTCCCTCAAAAAATGTTTTATGTTTGTTATTTTTTGTTTAATGGTAGATGAAAGAGAGATTAATTTGTCTAGCAAAGAGATGATGAGCAAAAAAGCGGTGTTGGGTTCTAGACCTCCAAATTGTGTTAACAAGTGCTTGAATTGCAATCCTTGCGTTGCCACACTTGTTGTCCCTCCTCGCCATCAGATGAAAGATTTAATCTCGTTTACATCATACGATGATCATTATGGGGATAATAATCATGATAGTTATTATCTTCTAGCATGGAAATGCAAATGTGGAAATAAGTTGTTTCAACCATGAATAATACATTAGCCCATGTAAGAGTTTTTCTTTCCATTATGCAAATAAGGTTAGTTGGTTAATTATGCATGCTTTTTTTTTTTTTTTTTCAGTTGTATTGACTATATATATAGTCTTGTAATTGTTCTTATTCTGATTTATTGTACATTATATATCAAAAATATATATAGTAGTATCTTAGAAGTTCAAATAATTGTAGCCTAATTATGTGTATGTGTATATATAATTATGTATGTTCATCTTATCAGTATGTATTAATTAATTAATTTTTTAAATATAAGTATGTATAATATGGGAATTGCTAGAATGAGAAATGAAAAAATCACTAATCCCTTGACACATCATCTTGGTTTAAAATTCAAATTTCCTCCTCTTTTTATTCTTAACTTTCTCATATTTTGACAATGACATGTGTTAGGATATTATTAGCTTTCTCATTTTCTCATTCTAGCAAATCCCTGTATAATATCATATGTTCATTATTCATCTTTACATCACATTGAATGAAGTAAATATCATCGATTTTTATTATGATCCAATTTAAATTGTTATAAAACCTTGAAACATCACATGCTACAGTTTATATTATTTTTAAAAAATTTCTCCTCTGTTTTTTCTAAAGCTAATTAAATTGAAAAATTAAATAAATTACTTACATATGGTATTTTTTTTTTTTGTTTGTGCTCATGCAGGGCTAAGCCCCAAAAACAAAATATAAAACAGATAATGAAGGGGATGAAACGTGGCATAGCCACGCCAACTACATCATTATGTAAAATACGACCTAGTGCTAAGTGGGGGACTTGAATCAACTCAATACGGTTGTTCTGCTCTATTCCTTGGTTGGCAAGTCAATCCGTTGCTGCGTTTATCGTTGAATATCAATATGTTTATGGTATATCAATATATCATACAAGTATATAAAAAATATGCAATTTTATTGTTGAATACGTTATGTGCATACTGTATCAGATAAATTAAAAGTGCATGATATTGATATATGCATGCATGAATCAAATACGAGTAGAAAGGAAAATATATGTATGTTATAAAAACGGTGGTGTACGTACGTTTTATCCATAGTTTTTAGACCAATTAATATGTACGTAAAACTGTAAAAAGCAACAACATTTAATTGGTCAGTGGTTTGTCAATCGATCTACAGGATCTTAACAAGATCACAACAACATCCATGATCCATTGAAGAGTCCCATCTTAGTATATTATATTTGGGCATGTGAAATGACTTGTGAACATATTTGGCCCTTTTAATTTCTTCTTCATGTTTTGTAGTGTATATATATTCCATTTTATGTTACCCAACCTTGTAAATAGGTTAACATAAGTACATAATTCCCACACATCACTCCTTTTGCTTATCTTTTGGTTTCCTTTAATAGATTAAAAATAATGTTGAATAGTTATAAGGTACATACTAAAAATCAAGATTTTATAAAAAGAAAACACATTAAGAGTAATTTTTATTGTCCCTTATTATTCTTTATAATTATTATAAGGTTGTCCTTATAAGATTGTCATAAATTTGTATTTTATAAAAACATATGGGTCACAACAACTGTCACAGAAATTATTGCAATTGTCCTCACTACTTTTGTCTCTTATCAGTTTCACTCAACTAAAAATTACTTAACAAAGTAAAAACTGATAATGAGGAAAATAATTAGGAACGAAAAAAGTGTTGATAAAGCATAAACTTTGTATCCATAAGTTAATACCTTTATGAATTAATATATAGCAATTGCCTCACAAAGTCACAATGAGACATGGAGATTAGTGATGAAGTTAAGCAAATGTTATATTGAAATTTGTCTTTGGAAGTTTCAATAGAAAGTTACTCAAAAACCCTAAAAAGTTATATGATCCCGACATAAAAACAAATTAGAAGTGATCTAAATAGAATTATGCAATATATGTAAAGATTTGCTCCCTTTTTTTAGGACATGTGATTCCCTTCAAAACAAAATTTCGAATTGATTCTTTCTGTAATAATTCATAATTAAGTGTTAGTTAAAATATTGAGAGGTGATACTCAATAATTAGCATCAAAATCTCGTACACAACAATTACTCAAACTCTTTCTAAATAATAACATAGGATGTTACAAAAATTCCTTACTTTAAAAAAAAAGTGATATATTGAGTTAATGACCATTGGATTTCATTGGGTTTTTTTTTTTCCTCATATGCACCTTTCAAGATTTCTACATTGATACTTTGATAGTTATTTTATTGATATTTGACTGAATCTGACGTAGAACATGGAAGATGGTCAGTACCTTTGCAACAAGAGAAGATCCACACTATTTATTTATTTTTTTCTTTTTTAATTACAGAGTATGCATTATTATATATAGCATGCATCAATGTATACATACCAATCAATTACTACGTAATAAACATTCATTTATGTAAATTCCGTACCATTCAAGTTACGTACATACGAGTATGAGTATATACATAACGATAGCACTAGATATGTATCATACGGAGCAGTGAGTAAGATATACGACGATTACATTAGATGTATTTTATGGTTATATTTAAGTAATTTACTACAGAGTACTCATACCTTTGATAATTTAAGATATTCCACATTAAAATGGCAATATTATTCTACGTTACTCTTATCCAAATTCCAAACCTTTGGTAAATAAATTAATTTTAACGATCTAACTAAAATTGGATCCGTACATGAGTAGAAAAGCTGTTAGATTATAGTAAAAAAGTGAGGTCTGAAAATGGAATCTGGCATGTTGCTAAATCAGTGACTGTTGATCAAGTAAGCACACAGTACGCCAGGTTTCCCCTTTTCTCGGGACCACCTCTTGCCTATAATACACTTAACTTGATTCATAATTAGGTAAATAAAATAGTTCTTGATAAAAGAAAGTCTTAACAGTGTACTAGGTAAGGGACACATAAAGCTGGGTGTATTTAGGAGTTTTATTTACACACATGCTCTTTTAGACTTTTTTTTATAGTTTATTTCAGTTCAGATTGTTTCAGTTTAGATGAATGAAGATTTAGTGTTTGATGACCTATAGTGTTTAATCAATTGAAAAACAAGTATCCCTTTGTATGCGAGTCAACATTTTTCCTTGTAAATTTCGTATTGAATTGGTTGCTTTATTTTGAGTTTATTTTCATATTAGAAATCAAATCTCACTTCGTAAAATTCAGTTATTATGGTATTTAAGCACAAATTCATGTAGAAAAAGAAAAATGTAACATCCACAGCCCAAAATAACACTTAAGAAGATAGAATGAACAATGAATTAGATTTTAACATCCACCTTAAGACAATTTAACATCACTAAACATTATTTCATCATTCACAATCAAACATCACTCATTCAAATAAAAACAAACTAAAAAGTCCCAACTTAGTTCACTTCAATCTCCTTAACATCTTTGCTATGAGACTCAGTTTTAGGTATAGTAATAGTGAGCACACCATCTTTTAACTCAGCCTTGATATCATCTTGCTTAGCATCATCAGGCAAAACAAGGCTAGTGTTGTAGTACCCATAACTCATGAAATACTCATCATCAGACTCATCTTCCTCCTCCACCTTTCGCTCTCCTCGAATCTTTAGCACGCCATCATCGATGGTCACCTTAAGATCATCCTTACTTAACCCCGGCATGTCGTAACGTAGCTTGTAGCTTTCATCTGTCTCTTTGAACTTGCCCATGAGTTTTGTGGGTGGTGTCATCATCATTTGTGTTGGTATCACATTTTCAAATAGCCTGTTCATGTTTTCTGCTGCTTCTAATAGCGCATTTCCTAGGCTAGGATTTGTGAAATTTTCTGCAATGAAATTAGAGAAATAGTTAAATTTGCGTTTCAATTAGTATTAATTGAAGATAATTCATTCGGTTAGTAACATTTTTAGCAATAAAACTTATCCGATTTGCAACAACTCCAAGAAGTATGTATACAACAAATTTAGTCACCCAAATATTCTATTCTATTGAGAATCAAGGTTGGCCCATGGTTGGCGGTCCTCCTTCTACCCCTGTGAGAGGGGTTCGATTCTCACCCCAAGCAAGTAGGATCCCTAATTTCCTCCTTACTTACAAGGGATTTCTCCTTGAAAAAAAAAATAATAATAATAAAAAATAAATAAAAAAATTCTATTCTATTGTACACCTAAATGAAGATACATAAGTAGTAATTGCTTTGAGCCATATGTGTTAATATGTTATCATGTACATCTAGCATCAACATGTAACATGACACAAGTGTACAATACGTCACTATAAAGCACGCAGTTATATACACTCAAATATACAATAGAGACAACATGAGCGGTTAACAACTACGACGTAAAAAAACAATTAATTTAGAACAGAGAGAGTACCTAAAGGGTGAGTGTCACGAGCACGATCCCTCCTCCTCCAAAGACTAGCCGGCTTTCGAAAAGGCCTAGGCAACAAGGACCTCCACCGGCTACTAAGGTTACGGTTGCGACCGCCTTCATCACTTTGAACAACAACTTCTTTACCCTCTGATCCAGCTGATGTTGATAGCCTTTGTAGAAGACCATACTTCCAACCATGGACTTGCACACCACCCAATCTCTCCCCAATTAAATTAGTATTATTATTAAGAATATTAGAAGCTGTTTTTTGGTGCAAATTCTTCAAAGCTAGTCTTGCCACTGCCATTTTTTCAAGAGACAGAGTAAAACGATGTCGTTTCAGTTGGTAATTTAATTATTTTTTTGTTGGTTGGATTTGGTGATTGAGACTGTTAAATGAAGGTGAGAATATAAAGGGAAATCAAAGAAGTGTCGGAAAGTTTCTGGATATTATGACACGTCGTTTAGAATCACTTTAACTAGAACTAAAGACAACCTTCATGTTTTTTCTCGAACTACTTTTATTTAAATTAGAGAGTGTTCGTGCTCTAGACTGTTGTAATCTATTCCTATCTACTTATCAACGTTATCAACTTATCATACATGCTTGTTTGTTTTACTGGTCAATTTGTCATCACTCATCGTTCATAAAAAGGTCAGGTTCATGTCACATTTCGAATCGTTTGGTTCGAGTGGTTTCAATTGTTTGAGTCATTACAAATCACGGAGTAGTACATCGTTTTGTTTATTGTATGTTTCCATCAAAGATTTTCACATTATAATGCATTTATTTGATTTCATATTCTACATGGCACAATTTCTGAGTTGTAAGAGAGTTGCATTGCCATACAACATGATCCTTTTTCTTTTTTTTCTTTTTTCTTTTGGGTGTTCCACCCGGTTCACCCTTTGGCTTAATCCGAATCCGAAGCTCGGTTCTGATAGGTTAGGTTCCACTCTCCTCCCAATTGTCGTTGCAAGGGATCAAACATGCGATCCTCCCTACCAAAAGTAGCCCCATTCGCCACTACACCAACAACCAATTGGTATATGACATGATCGTTTGAGAAATCTTGTCTTATTTTTAACACCATAGTCACATTCCATATATCTCGGTTATGGTCTTTTTCGAGACAAAAAAAACTCATCTACGCCACTGTAATCTCAAATCAAATTGTTTTTATAGGTAACCTTCCATGTTTGAAATGTTCCAACTTTCATTTCATAATTCATACTGGTTGACTTGGGGTATTATGAAAGAGATGGGAGTAATTAAATATCATAATGATTTTGGTCTCTCACAAAACCAGAAACTTCGCTTCGAAGAACAATTCAGCAGATTCAGGCATAATATGATTCAGATGAATAAACAGCAGCAAGTTCCATTAGTTAAAAAACCCAGTTACAGCACATGAGGAAACCTAAATGAGCATTATGAAAAAGTCGCGACAATGGTACAAATGAAGTTTATCCCCCCAAATGCATTTCTATCTTTTCATCTCAGGCAATTAGCTCACAATAAGTGGGTTTTCAATTGATGCTACTACCTACCCAGATCTCGGCTTCACCAGACGTCAGTCATACATCCCTTCCTGCTCCCAGATATCTACAAGAAAATCTACCATTTCCTGGAAAAGTGTTGACAGAGCTGAAGTTAGCCAAAAGGATTTGTTATCATTCATCAATTTCCTAGCCATTAAAAAGCAAATCCATGAAGAATATGGCTTACTGCGAGAGGTACTGGTTGACCAAACGGCTTGTTACTTCCAAGTAAGCTCTCATAAGTTGCGTTCCAACTGCAAGAAGGCCAGAACGAATCAAGTACGTTGAAATCATGGTCGCTGACAAGATCAAAGAAATGGGGAAAAAAGGGGGGAAATCAAAAACAATTCAAAGGATGTACTCCGTAACAGAAAAGCAAATAAGCAATGATAACAGATGGAGGAGCATTATTGGTACGGATTTAGATCCTTAAGGACAGCACCATGCAGCGAATGAAAGGAGATGGCTGCTCTGCACGTATGGACCAAGAGGCAGCAAACCACCCCCACCCCCACCCCCCAATAAAATCGCCAAACAAACTGGGAAGGCCATCAACAAAAGCAATCATTCTTCAAGTTAACGAATCATTCACAATCATATGAACAAAATCAATTTAAAGTAGAGAACAGTCAGATGCAACAGAGATTTTCCCTAAATCATCCCGACCACATTCCTTCAACAAACACCGCCAATTAGTCAAAGCTCATAAGAAACAGCTATCACACCTTCAAATTATTTATATATTCTTATAAAAAAATAACCAGCTTCTACACTTTGACAGACCGTTTATCCTTCAATGGTTCAACCATAATCTCCACCAACGAACACATCTTTTGTTTTGCCCAGCTTCCAACACATCGAGTAGAGATAAACTTGAATGACATAAAGGGGACATGAAGACATGGAAATACAAGGAGCACACCAAGTAAAAAACGTTCACAACAGATGGTATCAGAGTGGAACGATTCTCTGTAACCCAAGTACTGCCAAAAGTCAGGTAGCAGTGAGCCAGGAGTTCAATAGAGCTCCCGTAATAGTCCTAGCTTCACTAAACGAACACAGTGTATCATTAACACTTTGAATATGTTTGTATAAAACCACGATTGTTATTAATACAGCAAGTCAAACATCATTAAAAAAGAAATCCCAGTGTCATAGTCACACTCCACCCTAGATCTTACAAAAGACCTAAAAAGCTTTAACTTTGACAAGATAGGTTCCACACACTAACCAACCCGGATAGAAAACCTGCTGATCTCTTTGCTTACTAACTTATGCCACACCTCTCTTTGCAGACCTCCTTTCCCCTTATAATCTATAGAAAAATTCATACACAACATGTTTGACAGGATCCACACCTTTCAAGCAATAAACCACATTTTCAATCACCAAATAAAATCCCTCATTTTATCATAACTGGTCCCAAAGATTTCTTTCAATATTTCCAGCACAAGCTATTGACCCTCTGCTTCAAAATCAAACTTTTCAAAAGCTTTGATTATGTAGTGAAACTACCCTTTAAAATTCAACAAATGTAGAATAGGCAAACCTTCACTAACTTAGGACGGGAAACATACTCAATTACTCAGATACAATCAAAGAAAACCAGAACAAATTACCATACAATTACTCAGCTAGTAATTTGAACAGATTCAAAATAATATAGTCAGCCAACCTTATTTTTGGATCACGAACTTGCTGCCCTTTATTACTTTGATTTTTATTATCTACCCAGCGTTGCCTGGTCTGGTTCCAGAGATGGAGACCTGCCAACAACATATTAGAAAATATGAGAATGAATATAAAGGAATTCAGACAAAATGCAGTTATGTAGAAAAGATAAAAGCCAATCTGACAAGCTTCAAACAAAATGACCAGAAAATAGAAGTTCATATAGTTGATTCACCACCCTCCTTAGCAATGCATTAATTAGTTTAAACAGAGACAGTTAAATGGCAGCACAAGATCTGATACTACAACTGTAGAGCAAAAAGATTACCAGATCATATGAATTTACAGAACAGAGAAAACAGCAATACGTGCAAGTATAGAGGAAGGCAGATAAAAACCTACTCCCTTTGATAGATTTAACAGTCTCTATTATAGTATGAATCAAAACAGCAATGTGACAACTAAATCCAAAAGAAGGTTGAACATAAGTCTCATCCATATGTAAACAAATTTAATGGAATAGAAGCCAAACATATACTTCCTCCGCTCCTTTGATATTACAACGTTTGTACTTTAGACACCATTCAAAAACTACTCTTTAAACTCATATTGTGATTTATGAGTAAGAAAAATATAATCAAGTGAGGTCTTGTTAGATTTGGGCCAATATAAACTTAATGTAATTTTTACTGTTATATATTAAAGATAATTTTAGGGTTTAAATTGGGAAGCGTAAACCCCCCTCATATTGCAATATTAAGGGAACAAAGGAAGTTCATCTACATCAGACCAATCGATAGCATAATTATATTATACATAAAACTCAGTTTATAGATTAAATGTCTACTGCAGTTTGAACTTGCCATGATTTACAAATTCAGAAGGCGGATTGGAGCTGCTGACACCAGCAGGTGTATCAGGGGCTTGAAAGGATGCGTTGATTGAAGACAAACTTCCTTGTGACTGCATTGCACTGTTGTCTATGTCACCCACACTTGTGGTCCAATAATCCCTGGAAATACTAGGTGCTCTTCTCTCTTGACCTCGATTTATAATGCTCTTTGGACGCTCATCCAAAGATGCTATTGACTCAGGCTTAATAAAACATGCAAGGCAACCACTGCTCTGTTACAAAACATATATGCTTTTAGAAATCAATCACATTTGGCTAACATAATGGCACAGAAAACATTAAAGCCAAAAGCCAATTGTCATCAAGAGTATCAATGTAACATACATAAACCTTTAAGAAACTATAAGAGGAGCTTTCAGATGGATAAAATATATATCAAGCCAGTATTCAAAAGGTTAATGGAATCTGAAATCTGGCTTGATGCTATCAGCAATTAGGACATTCCAGCTTGTAGACTAACCTAAGAACTCTAAAAAGAGAAACCCACCAACAAAAAAATTTCTAACATTCAACTTTCTTGCCGACATGTATGAAACCCCTCAGTTGTTTTCCATTGGCTTATCAAATCAGCATATGTCAACAGCAAAGTGCTTGTCGGCATCTTAACTGGGATCATCCCCTGCAACAAAGAATGGATCGAGCACCTGTATAGCATATATTAGAATCTCATCCATGTCAAACCCATATACTTTCTCATCAGGAATTCACTTGCTACCTACAAAGTAGGTTAAGTTGAATAAGACTGATATGAGTAAACGTAGTTATGCCAGTTGCCATAGTTTACCAGAAACCTGTAGTTACCCTGCCACCCAATTGAACCACAGATTTCATCTCTAACAACATTATATACAAGCCTATAAAGATGAGCTACAAAGGGCTCTACCTTCCACCATTCTCTTACACTTCTCCCCCTTCTCTTCTCTCTCCTTGTTTTAGCTCTCAAAATTTTGCCTTTATAATCAGCCTGCAGCGGATCTCTTATAGATGGATTAATCTATATCAAACAATTGAGAAAATTTATCATCCATGTAAATCTTTTAAGTTGTATGAGCTAGAAGTTAGTAAATTAAACAATGGTACAATAGATGAATAATATAGTGAGTTTAAAACTATGGAGCACAAAGTCTTCTCACCTTCTAGATAAGTTCAATGAAACATTGTGTCTATCACACTTTACATGGTTAAGAAGCATCCTTGGCTCCACGAAAAATTATCCACAAGGTATCACCAAAAGGCGATAATTACACTACTTTAACCCATTACCCCCAACCTATATAATGATTTTCATAGTTTCTATTATGCTAAGCACAAAACTCAGCAAAAGGCCAAAAAAACTGAGTGATGTCTAATGAATACTTCTCCCGAGATTTCTCTCAATCCTCAGATAAGGGTCACACAAATGTGCAGAGAGTGATGGCAAACAAACCATTGTATCTCAAAACTACTTAATAGCATGAGGAAGTTCAAGAGGGAATTTAATTCACCACTTCCTCACAAAGATGTTCTTAAGCATCAAGTTACCAAGAGCCAATCTTACAATATAAACAAAAATACTCAACATCTTGCACATCAATATCAAACACTTTGATTTTGCTATCATAAAAATATATAAGTTTTATATATAGACCTTCTACACATGGAAGCATACTTGGGTTTAACCATCTCTTACCAGATTCCATGTGTCTCAATTCTCTCAAACTTATCGCAGGGCTGTCTCTCCAACTAAAGAATGTCCCCCATCATTAACATGCACATCATCAAAGAGATGAGATTTCACCCAATAATAAAACAGCAATTTCCTGGGTCCTTGGTACCTCATTCACTATCCACCTCCTTCATCCAGAATCTTCTTAATCAGTTAATCCAACTACATTTCTTTTAAGTCAACCACTGACATAATTGCAAACTAACGCCGAAACATTGGCCACTTAGCTAAATTGGGAAGCTTTTAATACTTATTGAACTTTGCACTTCAAACCAAGATGAGATTACTCCAGTAATGTGCAAGAGGCCTAATTACAATTTAAACTTCAGAATCAGGCAATGAATCATTATGTTTCCCTTCTTCTCATAACTTTATAGTTTATACTAGGATAAGTCCAGCAGAAGCAGCCAGCTCCATAAAGCATAGACCACATAGTCAACCAAAATGCTAGAGTTTGTTTGGTTGATAATCAATCAATCAAAGCTTTAATCCCATAAGTGGGGTCGGCTACATGAACCAAAAGTGATTATTCCATATAGTCATCCACAAAAATCTTCCTCCATCCCTTTCGATCAAACACCTCATTCTCATCATAAGGGATGGTTGATAAACAAATTCAAAAAGGAAGTAAAATGAACCAAAAGAAGACATAGAAGGAAGAGTAGAGAGGTCGCCGGGTAGCATTTTTGTCAAGTATCTCATTGGTCAGAACCAAAAGGATTCCTTTGTATGCTTAGCTAATAGTAATGGACGTAGACACGTAGTGGGATATAAAGAGGACAAATGCTACCGTTATTCTTTCAATCCAATTTCCCAATCTACAAGGAAAGAAAGTGAGAGCTTCATAAGGATATCTTCAATTCCCTCTTTTACCTTTTCCTAACAATTAATGTAACCAAAGTCTTCCTTTACTTCTACTTCCATCCAAATCTTCCCAATCAAACGAAAATCTAAATTCAAAAATCAAGGAAGCTGAAGATCAAGAAAAAATCCTTTATTCACAAATAACTATCCTCCTCCCCACATCCAAGAGGCTTGACAGTTGATATCTAACTTACTTCCATGAGCATAAGTAAAGTAACCTAAATTGTTATTTCCTCAGTCAAGACAATTACTTGCTAATTATATCACAATTTCAATCTCTAAATAAATACTAAAAGTCAAATTTTGGGAGATAACAGTTCCACCGATCGCAAACAATTAATCATCTTATGAGCATAAGTAAAGTAACCTTAATTGTTATTTCCTCAGTCAAGACAGGTACTTGATAAAAATGTCACAATTTCAAATCCCTCGAATAAATAAAAGTAGAAAATTGGGAGATAACAGCTCCACCAATCGCAAACAATCCATCAACATATGATAATCTTACACACTTTTAGCTTTCCAACAGTATCTTTTCCCAATCATACTCCTAATATAGTTCCAAAACTTCCTTTCTCACTATATACATTGAGCCAATTTTTAATTTTTACTATCAAATAGTATGGTTACCTTATTAGAATACATGATAAGAACCCTAAAGGTGACTTTTTTACACTCATAAATCACATCTATAATGTGGAGCTCAAAAATAATACAACCCAAAAACCCCTTGATTTTCCATTCAACAAAACCAAGTAATTGCAGAACAAAAAGAGGTATATAAATGCATTATAAATTATCAATCAATCATGCAAAAAAATTATAAAAAAATTAATCAGAAAATATATATATATATATATAACTAATTTTACTATCAAAACCCAATAAACAGATTTATAAAAGAAGAACTTACCCCATTCAATCAAGAATAAATTCACAAAACCAAAGATTTTGCTAGATAATTCCAGATATTTCTGACAACATTGATTGATTCCAGGAAGGCCCAGATCACAAAGCCCTGAAAAATCCCAAAAACCCCATCTCAGAAAACAAATCAAAAATCAACAAAACTAAAAAAAATTAGCAGAAAAAAGAGATCAAGGAGATAGAAATTGACCTGAGGTAAAGGAAGACTATGAAATCAGTGGAAAAGCGCTTCCTGGAATCAAGTATTGGTTTGTTTCAAAGAAGATGAATGGGGTGGTTTAATGAAGAAGCTTGATTTGCCCTTTTCTTAGCTCCCCTGCTCCTGTTCTTGTGTAGCAGATGGTATGGAGAGAGAGAGAGAAAGAGAGAGGAACCCAGAAAAAAGGGAGACAGAGGACGAAGAGAAGGTGTGATCACGGGCCCGCCTTTGATGAATGGATGGGGCCTCATGTTAGGTGCCCGTCACTTTTCTTGATCGTAAATTCATCGCATAATTTTACGATCAGGGATAGTGTAGTAATTTTTAATAGCGTTTTATGGGCTAATAAGTTCAATAAGATATTAACTCTGACTCTATTTTTAAAAATTGCAATAAGTTTTTGCAGCTTTTATTTGTAGAAAGAAAGTAAATAAGGTAAGTGGACAAATTAGCTAAAATAATTTAAACACCTATAATGTAAATATGTATATCTTAATTTCAAATATAGGCTTGTTTGATAATCTATATCTATACTTAGTATTTAAAAACACAAACTCTACTTGCCACATGTCCTTCATTTTTTTCTACATATCGTTATAATATTTTGCCACGTGTCATATTCTTTTACATTTCTTTATACTCCTTTTCTTTAATTGGCCTTCTTTATATGTCATTAGTTATGGTATAACTTTTTCATCTTCCCCCATTTATGTGTCAATTAGCTCTAATAATTTTATAACCTCCTCTTAAAGAAATTTCTTAATCTTTTCCTCTTCTCCCTTCATCTTTCAAATTTAAAATTGAATGTGTTAATTAGTTCATTGACCCTTTATCATCTACTCATATTTCCTCTCCTAATATAAATTTCTAATTAAGCATTTTTTACATCATTTAAATTCCCCTAATAAAATTGACATTAAAATATTTCTAAAAATGATGTACAAAGTCTGTGCTACGATGAAGATGGTGAATGAAAGGAGATAAATGAAATCTCAAAGAAGGAAAAGTTGAATGGCAATGCAAGAAAAGGAAAGGGTGTGAGAATATACAGAAAACTCATATTGTATGGCATTACTTGCATATCATAAGACTATGCATACTTTCAAGATACTAAATGTTCTCTTTTAGAAATAGTTTTTGATTTCATATTTGATGTAAAATGTAAATTTATAACAAGCATCTGATCTTTTGTTATTTGATTTTATATAACTATCATGCATGCTAAATGTTATAATATTGTAAAAATTATTTTCGTAAATTATTTTTGTAGCATAAATTATAACTTATACACAACCCGCATGTAGAACGGGCCAAAAGCTAGTTGGATGTTGGTTGTTCTAACTAGTAATTTGTATTGACTTTTTATGTATGTTGTTTGATTATTGGCTCTTAATAAACATATTTGGTAAAATACAATGTTTGCTTTTGGCTGTTTTATATAGAATGACCTTTAAAAATATTGTGAAAAGGAAGGTGAGGGTGTAAATAAGGATAGTAATTAGTAACATTAAAGGCTAAAAACCAATGCAAAAAAAACTACGCTTATTAGTTTTTGGTGGAAAAGCTGGCTTTTTAGCCAAAGAAAAAGTCAATTACCAAACATATAAATGGCTTTTTGATCAAACAAACAAGCAAAAACCAAGAAAAAAGCCAAAACCAAATAAGGCCAATATGTAATAAGGGCTAATAAGTTCATACGAAATATAAGCACTACAACAAAATTAGCCTTTTATAGCATTCTTTTTTTAGCGGTTTTGTTGGTTTTGCTGTAAAAGATATGAAAATTAGGTTATAATAGCGTTTCTAAAATAACTGCTGTTATATGTCATCTTTATTATAGCAGTTACTAATAAACCACTATTAAAACACAACTTTATTATCACCTTCGTCTCATATTAGTTGCAACTTTGTAATATTTTATATCTTACAAATAATACCTCAAAGTTACAACTAATATGAAACGGAGGTACCGAGGGTAAAAAAAAAAATTGCCATCGCTTATAACCTAATTTCTTTCACTTAGCTTCTCAATCTCAACTGCATACGCATTCGATTCAGGCTACCATAGAGGCATAGAAACAATTTCACCAAAGCTATTTCACCTAAACTCACGGATTTCTCATAAAAAATTGATTGGTGGGTTTTAGGTTATCCAGTTTTGTGGTTTATTTTTCGGAGGAGAGAGAAAGTGAGCAGTTGCAGCATCAACAACAAAAAATTGAAGGTTATCTGACAAGAACGATGAGGAGAATAGGGAACAAATCGATAGCGCGAACTTGTACTTTCCATCGAAAAGCTTCTTATCTTGAAAAGGTTCGATTGTTTTGTCCCTAATTTGGTTTTTTTTTGGGGTTTATACGGGATTTTTGATGTCAGTTTTCTGTATTTGTTTAATTATGTCATTTTTGTTTAAAATTGTGTTTTTGTGCTAGTTTTTGCTCGGAATGTTGATGGGGTTTTGTTATCTGCTAATGGGTAGTCAGGATTAACGGATTTGTGTGTGCATGTGGATTGTTTTGAAGTTTAATTGACTTGATTTATGTGGAATTTGTGCTCAAATTAACTACTTGCTATTTGTATAATCGTTTTGTTTGCTTAAACATAACAATTTCTTCGATGGTTTTTATGTGGGATTGCCTTAGTGATGTAAGATAAAGTGGTTCTCTCTATGCAAACTTGTGGTGAAAGTTCATTGACTTTGTATGCATAGGAAATAATTCGCTTCGTAAGGGGGTTGGAATTTTGACTCATTTGTGTAAGAAAATTAGTGAATTAACTAAGTCGAATTGATTAATTAGTTAGTGAATTTGAACGAGGTTGGCTTGAAAATTGGATGAGTAGGATGACCAGCGCTGATTGGTGGGAAAAGAGATGCCGTATTGGCGGTGCTATGTGGTGGAGAAGATGTTGTTGGCGCTTAAAGTGTTTGAAGGGGCTGCTGTGATTATTTGGACAGTCAATGGGTGAGCTTGTTGAAATTTTAGAATTATTGTTATTTTTTGGGATTTCTTGATTGAATTATATGTTGATTCTCCTATACTTGAGCATGATTTAATTTTATAAAAATCTGATAGCTGAATTTCATGTATACTATGATATTGTCCTGATTTTTTAGGGAACTGTTGTTAATCAAGTTATGTCAGAAATTTTAAATTGCATTGTTTGAGTTGAGATGAAGATAAATTATGATTGTGCTGCTTCTTATAACTTTGTGTTAATTTCATTTGCTAATGTGGGGCTGCTAGGATTGTTTGGACAGTCAATAGGGGGATTGTGGCTCTAAAGGTGCACCTTAAGCAATCCAATGCTTGGAATGACATTGTTCTATTGGCACTCATGTGCAAAGTACTCTTCTTTTATTAAATTCTTACAAGCATCAACATATATGAAGTATATAGTGTTATTAACTTGAGCTTTAATTGACATTTGCTGGGGTTTTTTTTTCTTCTTTTTTTTTTTTTTTATTTTTATTTTTTTATTTTTGTAGATTGCAGATGACATGTACCCTCATTTGTTGTGACCCAAATTTTAATTACAATAAACAAGTTTTTTCTCAAATCAAAAAAGGTTACATGAAGAGATTTAGCTGATTTGGCATTTCGTGAGAGAAAGAAACGGTTAGCCCACCGCCTTCCCTCTCTGGTCTCGTCCCCCTCATTTCCCTAATGGTTGGCAATAAGGCAGAACTCTGAACATTTTTTCTTCATTCTTGAGTTCAGACAGAGTATAATGTCATTGCTTACATGGATAAATCGCATTCGAAGACTGATATTTGAGCTGCTTCACACAAAAAAGGAGATAGGTCGTCGAGTGGAAGAAGTATGTGATTTGTTTCCTTATAATCTTGTTTTGTTTTGTTTTGTTTTTTTTTTATTTTTTTATTTTTTTTTTATTTTTTATATACAGTATATATAATTAGATTAAGCAACAAACATTGCCTTAAAATACTTTTTTTTATGATGAAATTATCAGGCCTCTTGTAACTTAAGTTATAGGTAATTGCTCGGATATTCTAGAGTCCCCCCCCCCCCAATCAATTAGTTGGACTTATAATAACATATATGAATTGGATGGCTTTTCTTAAGTCTTGTTCTACTTGTCTCAACTGAATAATTTATTAGATTAAATGGTTTTATACAATATCATTCCCGCTGCTTTAGCGTTAAATGCTACCCCTGATACTCCCTCCCTTATGATGCTCCTGTTGCTCCCCTATGCTGCCCTTTGCAACTGCCTAATATGCTACCCCTGCTGCTCCCCTCTACTGGCTGCAATTTGCTGCTACCGCTACATGATGCTGTGTGACATGTTATATATATATATATATATATATATATATATATATATATATATATATATATATATATATATATATATATATATATTAAAACAGTTTTATTATGTGTGAGTGTGTGTGTGTGTGTGTGTATGCAAGGGAAAACAGAGTATATGTGTTTAAGTATGAAAAGGATAGTATTATATGTGCGTGGATAAGTTAAATCTCCATAAGCCCAAGTAACGTACAAAAAGGAGAGCTCCAGGACAAATTTCAAATGTAAATGAATGCAGTAGTGTGGGTTGTAATAAATCATGGGTTGTGATACATCGCCAATGCTACCAATTAATTTCGAGTCTATACATTCTTGTTTTTTAAACTAGATAATTTTTGTCCTAAATGTATGTTTAACTAATTAGCTCCTAAGTTAAAATGTGGATAAAGTTTGATTTACTTATTATCTCTTCATAAAAAAAAAACATTTAACTTTATGTGTGTGTATTACTATCTTATACCCTTGTATTGTTATTTTGCAGGACCTTTTAGATTGCCAGTTTAGAAGTTATGATCAAATTCAAATTGAAGAACTCTGTGTAGCTCAACAAGTGTAGCATGTTGAAGGAATCAACAAATTTCTGTGCATAATTTATGTGTATTAGAGTATTTTGATTTATTGTCATTTTCTTAGAACATAATTCTTAAACTGTTAGTTTTATTACGGTGATGACCTTGTAAAACTCTTTATTAGATCTTGAATATTAATTCAAAATTACCATTGTTTTACATACTATTAATTGTACAATTTCGATATTTTTATACTATAAGTTGTGCTAGAAGAAATTGCAGGAAAAAATATTTTTTTAAAATCATTATTAAAAATGAAATAAAATAAAATATGGCGGCAAGTGACAAATGACAGCATAACTTTTATAGCGGTTTTCATTTGCTGTAAATGAATATTTTAATGGAATCCTAGATACACATATTATAGCGGTGAAGTTCATATGGGTTACAACGGGGCAATTAATAGCGGTCTACAAACCGCTGTAAATATAAAACCGCTGTACATAATTGTTGTAGTGAAGATAAAATTATGACTAATAAGATAAGATAAATAATATTTTTCTGAGGAGAATTTACCTTAGTCATCTTTAAAAGATAAAACTTTCGTTTGTAATGGTTCTACAAAAATTACAATACACTGTCAGTGTCACCCCTTTTCGCACATTAGAGAACAGAGATGGCTAAGGAAATGATTAGGGTGTATTTTCTCTGTTTTTTTGGTTGTGAACTTGTGATCATTTTCTTTTTTCAATACAAATTTTGTAAATTTGATCATATCTTTATATTACTACTAATATATAAATATTATCATGTTCAATTTTACTATACTTGTCATAATATTCATTGATCTTTTTCTACGATTTAGTTGATTTATAAATTAATGTTATTTATAGTTCAGTATATCATGTACGGAGTGTAATTTAAAAAACATAGAAATTATTAAGAAGCAATGTTTGTTGAAAACATTATGGTTACACCATGTCAATAGTAGTACAATAATTTTAAGTCTTAACAGAAGATCAATCTAATTCATTATTTTGGATAATGGTAGTGGTGAAAGTAATCTTTACTTCAAATGATACATTGAGTATATAAATCGAATACTCATTTCTTTGGAGCCCATGTAACATCATGAGATCAAGACTACATTATTGCATCAAGAGAGAGATTAGAATTTTCCACAAAATGAATGAACCATATACATAGTATCATAAAAGATTGTTTTATGATTAAACTACGTATAATATATGCGTAACCCTGTTAGATAAATTATAAGCATTAAAGAAATCCTTAAATGTTATTATTCGGAAATGAATAACAAAATTACATGTTGAGAGGTATTATTATTATTGATGGTACTAAAATTAGAGCGATATGCCAATATGTAATGCCATTTTCCGATTTCCCTTTTGTTGCAAGTTGTATGTTACAATGAACACTATTATCCTCTACATACAAGTTTAATGCTAAAATGACCAACTACCTTAGGAACCATCTATCATAGGGTGCACCTATCATTTCTTTGAACTAAGCTAGTTATTAACAAGTTCAGTAAATCAGGTTACAGTAATTTAATGTTGCTTTGAAAGCTACTAAACCAGCAGGTCTAGCAAGTTTGTATAAACCCCACGAAACTAGCACGGTTGTACACTTGTATTTGTACATATTTGCATGAGCTTGCTTGTAGGGTGACCTAACTAGAGGCTTTTTTTTTATTTTTATTTTTTAATTTTTTTTATGTGTGCGAGCGCGCGTGCATAAGTAGAGTTGTAAAGGACAATAATGTAAAAGGAATTTGATCACAGATCTTGAATATTACCCCCTAAGATTTTAATCAACTAAGCTAATTGGCATTCACTAACGTAATAAGAGCTTCAAAGATCGAGTTGTGAATGAGTTTTGTACTTTTGTTGCATGATGCCCGTGCAACCAAATTTCTTGAAAAGTATCCTAATATAGCTAGCTCCTAGCTTAGGCTATTGCAAATTTTTTCAAGTTGAGACTATGTATAATTACGAGTAGTTATGAGGATCTTTTACTAAATTGGCTACTTTATCAAAATTATTTACCAAAATGACTATTTTTAAATTCTAAATTCAAAACTAGCCAAATAATTTTAATACATATAGTATATATCCATTGAACCAATTTTTTTCCCTTGTGAACCGGATTTGAATTCTTCCCGTTCTTTTGGTTCAATATAATTTACTTAATAAAAAAAAATGATAATAAAATAAAAAAATCTAACAACTATATATATATATATATATATATATATATATATATATATAGTAGTGATATTTGTAAATACTTTTTTAAATCTCATTCTCGGGATTGAGTATATCATTCTCCAGAAACTTTTGCGTGAGACCGGACTCACCGTAAGTCCAATATATCTGACAATCTAATATATATATATATATAAAGGGGAGTTTTTTTCCGAGTTGTTAGAAAGCCACGTAGGACAAAATTTTCTTAACGCGCCATGTAGGATTATAAATTTTAGATTATAGCTAATTAAATAAGAAATTTGTAAATTCTTTTAGAATTAAATAATTCAAATGCCATATAAGTAAATTTGGCGAATGAGATTTTGAAGTTTAAATTAATTAAATGTAATATATTGTCTTTTGAGATTATGAATTTTATCTAAATATATAATGAATGAGAGGAAATTTACAATTTTTAAAATAAAAATATTAAATGATATACTATGTACAACTAATAAAATAACAAATTTTATGAGCGCCACGTAGGATTTTAATTTTAAAAAAAATTATTAGAGCGCCACATAGAATTAGTATTTTTAAAACGCTACAATAGGATTATGTCACGTAAGATAAGTTTTTTTTAAAGCGCTACGTAGGATTTTAATAAAAAAAAGTGCCACGTAGGATTAATATTTTAAAATGCTACAACACGATTATGCCACATAAGACAAGTTTTTTTAAAACGCTACGTAGGATTATAATAATAAATTAAAAAATTACCAGAGCGACACATGAGATTATTATTTTTAAAAAATTATTATGAATAAAATTAAATAATTTATTTGGGTGATTAAAACCATTATAATAAAATTTTACAAAAATTAAATAAAGGAGAGTTTTTCAAGATATTTTAGAGCATCACATAGAAAATATTATATTTTAGCCAATGAAAAAAAAATTGCAATTTATTTTAGATCTAAAAGTTATATTAATTATAACAATAAAATCAGCACATTTTCCGTGTGGCTAGTCATGTCGTGTGACCGGCTAAGATATACCAAAACACTGACTCGGTAATCCCTCATTGTCCGAGTAACCCCTAATCGATCGAGTAATCCTTGACCAACTGAGTAACCCCTGACCAAGTAATCTTAACCATTACAATGTGACCAACCACATATGAAACGTTGTGAAATAAAATAAAAATTTCAAGTATTAAGCAAAAGAATATCACAAAGTTTAGGAGATAAATATAAAAAACAAACCCTTCATTTAGTAATATTCTAATATTTGACAATAATCTTCTAATATCTGACATTAATAATCTAATATTTGACATTAATAATCTAATATCTGACATTAGATTATTAGATTATTAATGTCAGATATTAAAATATTATTGTCAGATATTAGATTATTATTTTCAGATATATTGGACTCACCGTGAGTCCGACTCACCCAATTTTTTCCAATCATTTTCATATCGTTCTTTAATACCACGTATTGAATATGTTATTAGTTCAATTGATTGAACTATATTTCCAAATTAAAGTAGTAAGATTAAATGGTTAAGTCTCAAAATGGGCATAATTAGGTGCTAGATTTCCATACATCAATTGAGTTTAATGCCACAAAAAAAAAAAAAAAAAAAAAAAAAAAAAAAAAAAAAAAAACTAACTTTGGGTGCTAGATTTTCATACATCAATTAAGTTAAATGCCAAAAAAAAAAATAAAAAAAAATAACTAACTAACTTTTAATGAGGACTGGAGTTAGGACAATTGTCATTATTCTTATGGCTGAGCAAAACTATCTGAAGATTCGAAAATCCGATTATTCGATCCGCATTCGATCCGAAAATTATGGATATCTGATTCGGATTTTTCGAATATTGAATCGGATATCCGATATCCGAAAAAAAGTCGGATATTTTTTTAAAAAATCACCCATATAAAAAATGTTAAACCCTAAAACTACCCTCAATCCCTACTTCCCCTCATCCGCCTCTCTTCTCCTCTTCTCTCTCTTCCACCACCCTTCCCCACCACCTTCTCCGGTACCCTCTACGACCACCTCACCACCGACTTCCACCATATCTCCCCCTTTCGAAACCCCCACCAACTCACCTCCCAACTCACTCGACTCAACTGAGTTCCAACTCCCCGAGTCATACCACGCTGAGAATACGACAATCACACGCCACCACAATCGGCGGCCTCCGCCATCGCGAGATCGGTGGCTCTTCTTGAGGATCTTAGAGCGTGTGCAGCAGAAACCGAATTCAGACTCCAACAAGCTTGGGCTAGGGAAGCTGCTCTTACTCGTCAACTTTATGAAACAAAGCGCTTCGTCTTAGTCATGAAGATCACTGAATCCTACCTTCAACGACGCTTCCTTCAACAACAACAACTCCTCGCTCGCCTCCTTGAGTCCTCTCCCCAGTACCACCATCTGAATAAACTTTTTACTTTTTTCATTTTTTGTATATATTTTTATTTTTGATTTTTGATTTTTTTTTGCTTTATTGTTAAAATGAAAATTAGGGTTCTTGTTGTATAATTTATGAACTAATTTTATAAAAAATAATTTCTCAATCAGAGATTTGTTTAATTGCTTTTCAATTTAGGTGTGGGAAATTTAGGGGTTTTGTATGAAATCTCTGTTTTTCATATGAGCTGCTTTACTCCATCTTAATCCACGCTTTGGGGAAGTCGGAGAAGCTTTACGAAGTGTTTCTCCTTTCGTAGCGCCAGAAATTGACCCCGTTAACTTATGATGCCTTGATTGGAGCTTGCAGTATTCATACATTTTGCTGTGTATCAGATATATGATATGTTGAATAGATTATAATTTTCAATAAATTAAGTTTAGAAATTGGGAATTTTGAATTATAGCCACAAGGGTCGGATATGGGATATCCGAGTTATTCGATCCGAAAATTTCGGATATCCGAATATTGGAAATTTTCGGATCGGATATAGAATATCAAATATCTGGATTTTTGAATACGGAT